GACTCAAAAATATGTAAGTCTCCAAGGGTTTTAGAAAATTATATTCTAAGAAAAACAGTTAGCTCTCTAGTGACGAAAATAATGAAATTCATTATTTGAATTGATTGATTTGATTGATTTATCTATCCATATTTCTATCTAATATCAAACAATAATAACATTATTCTTATAATAATATCTGTCCATTAATATAGACATAATGTGATTATAAATTTTCATACAAATAAATAAATAAATAACAATAAGCCTAGCAAAAACTCTGTCACACAATAAAAAATGCATGCCAAATATTTAATAAGCGCTTCAATTACTTTTTTTACACATTTATCAAATAACATTTTTGCATGCCTTTTTCTTTGGAAAAAATGCGTATTGGAAGCTTTATTGGTAAACAATTGGATAGTTGCATTTGATTCCAATTGGAATGTAATTGAGCTTGCATAATTACGCACTTAATTAGCTCGGTACACACACAAATACACACACACGCATACATTGGCAGAGCGTTTATCGATTGAAGTGCAAGATTTCACACTTCTCCTGATGAGCTACTCAACACGTGTGTGTGTGTGTGTGTGTGTGTGTGTGTGTGTGTGTGTGTGACTGTTTGTCGGTGTGTTATTAATAAGCTTCTGCCTTAACCCTAACTGCCTACCGCATAGCACCTGAACCAACAGCCCCCTTTCCCCGCACCCGCCCTGCACCGTTCCGTGTTTAATTTGTCGTTTTATTGTTTTAATTTTGCCTGCCCAGCGAGGCGAACAAACGCGGTCTGGCAACCCCTGTTTTTTCGCTGTGGCGAATTCAAGCTTATTAGTTGCGCCTAAAGACAAAAAGTGTGTCCCGTTCAGTTGGTTGCTTTCGTTGTGTTCGCTCACGCTCCCGCTCCCTCAACCGTTCCCTCTCCCTCTCGCACTTGCCTAAAACAAAGCTTTTTGTTCTTCGTTCTTCTTCTTGTGGTGCTTTCATTTCAATTAGCTCGAGTGTAGGACTGACTCTCTGTCACTTATAACTAACTGCAACTGCCACTGTTGCCCTCTCGCTCACTCGTTCAGTCACTTACCTGCAAACTGGGCGCCGAAATGCTGCTGAAAGTGTCCCCGAAATTCGTGATGCGTGCTGAAGCCGGGCGGCAGGAAGCCGCGCAGATAGGCGGCCGCTGCCAACGTCGTCATGTGATGGTGATGGGCGGCAGCTGCATTAGCCGGATCGGCGGCAGCGGCATAGCCGGCGGCTGCATAGAAATTCGCCGGATTGAATACGGGCAGTTGGCAGTGGGCGGCAGCGGCGGCGGCGGCAGCTGCAGCGGCCGCTGATAAACGCGTCACATCTGGCGAAATGGATCGCGAATCTCTCGAGGGCTGCTCCAGCGGTTGGCCGCTGCTCACGGCTGACTGTTGCGGCGTGTTGGCGTTCCGCGGTGGGGGCGTGGCGGCCGGTGAGAGGGGCGCCTCAATGGCGCTGGGCGTGGCAGCGGCAGCTGCCTGCGATGATTGTTGTTGTTGGTGCTGCTGCTGCTGTTGTTGTTGCTGCTGTTGTTGCTGCTGCTGTTGTTGTTGCTGCTGTTGCTGCTGGTAGGCACCGACGCCGACACCGACACCGACGCCCAGGCCGAGGATCTCCTGTATGGCAAAGGGGGTTCGCAATTTGGTCGCTTGCATTTTGCCGTCGGTAAAAAGTTTTGCTCTGTTTACGGTTTATTGCACTTGTTCAGCTAACGGCTAACGGTTAACGGTTAACGGTTAACATAACTCACTCGCATCGACAAACACAAAAAAAAATATGACAGCATACACACATGCACGCGCGCAAGCACACACACTTTCACACACACGACATGTGCGGCGACAAAAAAACGACAAAAAAATTATAATAAGCACACACTGAATGCGCGAAGATGTTCAAAATGTTTCCAATCCAATACAATCCAATTCGATTCGAGYTCGAAAAGTAGTTAGTTCGTGCGTGCGTGTGTATGGGAAACTTAACTGTTCTTTTCTTTGGGATAACACAAGTCGCGACAACACACACAAGAACAACAACGCCAGAGCAGCAGAGAGATTTGCTTAGATGGCTGTGGTACGCGAATGCGAATGTGAATGTGTGCGTTTAACTGGACATGGACGTCGTCGTCGTCTGTCGACTGTGTCTTGTTGTTCTGGTTGTGTGTGGGCGCTGACCGTTTGCGTTCGGCGTGCACAACGTACAAAAACGAACTGAAACCAAAGCGCGCGCTGCACGCGAGCAAAAGCGTCACGTCAACGTCAACGGCGCTGTCGCTGCCGCTGCCAGCGCCAGCTGCGACGTCAACGCCAACGCACGTTAAACAACACACACGCCTTTGCGTACTTCTTGTTTTGCCGTCGCTCAGGGTAGCTTCAATTGCTTCGTCGCTGCTTGCCAAGTGTCGACTGAGGGTGTCGCTGGCTGAATGCTGCGAGTGCTGCTGCCTCTGCTGTCGTTTGCTACGCCATCTTTGCGCGAAAACGAGATGGCAGCATAGTTACTGCGATAGCTGTTTCACTCACGTCTGCACCGAGCTATGCAGCCGTTCCAATTGTAGGGGTAATGCGAGCAGCACAAAAGCTTGCTATCTCGCACACACTCGCTCATGTCGCCGCTTGCTATCGCGCTCTAGCCTGGAAGTGTGTACACGTACACTGTTCATACTATATGTGTGAGCCGAACGTGTGCGTGTGTATGTGTGTGTGTGTGTTAATTATGCGACGATTGCGCGGCCTTTGCTAAATGAAATTTTAGTTTGTTTTGCGCCGCCAATTTGGCGGGCCGCACTGCACCGGCCTCCATGCGTGTCTGTGTGTGTGTGTGTGACAATGCGTGCCTGCGCGTGCCTGTCTTTTTACGTGATTTTATTTACTTTTTTTTGGAATTTTTGTTTCTGTTTATAATATTGGCCGACATGCAGTACGGACGGTCACTTGTGCGCCATTGCTTAGCAGCCACTGTTCACAAAATTATTTAAACAATTCGCAGTCGGCGATTTGCCCGGCCGATTGTTTATGCAATTCGATGCACGATAAATGCCGCCCCATCGAATTGCTGGCATTTCTGTTTATCTGTTTATCTAACGGCGAAATGTGACTGTTTGAGTGATCAAACGATCTTTAACCAGGTTATTGGGTCACTACTGAACAGCAGCAGGCAGTAAAATAGTTTCGATTGAATTTCTGAAATTCCAGAGAAAACTTGAAAGTACACCCTTAATTCAAAACTATGTGGAGTACCTGGTAGATCTAAATATACAGTCGGAAAGCAAATATTTTATTTATTTATGAAAGGAGGAAGCAATGATTTTTATTTAGGATCGCTTTGTTTGTGAACAGAAAGTTGTATATGAAACATATCATATTTCATAATTCCTACATAATGATATAAACTTTGATTAGATTACCATTTGAATTCTTACTCAATTACCTAATTTTTTCGCTCTGTGTATTCCGTTGCCTTTTGTTTTGTTCTTTTCTTTTTTGTTCCAAAAAGTTTGCTTTCGCCTTGCTTCTAAATTGCCTTTCCAGTTGTTTTCCCAGTCCTGCTTGGCATCCAATGCTTGCCTTTCCCGTTGTCTCGCTCCCACTCTCCCAATGCGCCACTGTGTCACTCCTACTCCTCGTCGCCTCGCGCCCTCTCTTTCCCGCTTGCCGAAAGTTGGCCATGTTAATTAAGCGCTTGGCAGCTTTCGCCTAGCCATATCGATTAGCTGCTACGCTCCCTCTCCCCCACTCTCCTCTCCTCTCCTCTACCTCTCTCCACAGCCTTTTCGTTGTGATTAATTAGTCGCATTGCATAACAATTGCATAATCAATATGCAATTGCCATTAACTGCTTGGCTTGCAATTAGGCTAGAGTTACGTCTAGCTACGCTCCGCCCCCACCTCCTGCCACTCACACTACCCCGCTCTCTCTCACACTCACACTCACGCTCAGCAACTGGCGTTTATGTAGCCAGTAGCAGCGTTTAATTAGCGCACTTTGACACGTCTCTCTCACTCTCCCTTTCTCTCTCTCGCTTTCGCTTGCTGTGCGCTATTTGAGCTTATGCAAAGTTTCAGGCGCTTGCATTTAGCAATTGCATTAATTGCATTAATCATACGCTGCGTTGTTCCGCTTAAATTAATTTCCCCTATTTGTTGTCTTTTCTTTTTGCTAATTAAGTATATGAAATCACAATATCGTTTGAATATATGAAAATTAAAAAGAAGTTAACCAAATGTGTATCATATATATTTGTTAATATATTTCTTTAATTTCTATATGCTGATATAAATATACAATCAATATAATTTTTATATATATGTATATACACATACTTATCTACATACTTCCATTTACTCTGCGATTCTCAAAAGTTCTGTTTAGGTAATAATTGCTTATACTTCTTCTTCTTATTTGCATATTCCTTTTCGTCTCTTAAGTTCCATTTCTGTTTCTATCAATTTTCGATTATATCTCAATTTGAATATCTTTTATGTCTTGTTCTCTACAGTTCAATATCGTTTTTAGCTCACATCTAATTCGATATTCATCGTCAAATGGTTTCTAATCAAAAAGTTTGCAACTTTTTGTTCTTCTGCTTTGATTTAGGCAATCAACTGCAATTGTTGTGCTTTGCTTAACGCTTTTTCCTAATCTCTTGGCGATATTCCTTCGTTTATTGTTGTTGTTGTATTACGAATTTCAATTTCCGTTTGGCATGTCCTCAAGGACCTGTGCGCCGACTCGTATTATTTCATATTTATAATGTAATCTGCACTTCAGCCTCAAAGAGACGTCGCATAAATCACAAATGCCACTTGCGCGGACCTCTCTTTCCCACACACTCTCTCGCTCTCTCTCTCTTGTGTATGTGACTATTTATAATACATACAT